AAACATCAAATGTGAATAAAGGGGGTGGGTGGGAATGAATCAATTTAGAAACATATTCTTCTTAGGGCCAACTATAAGAGGCAGATAAGTAGATAGAAAGTTGATATGGAAGTCCCATAGACCTGAGTTCAAGTGCTGTCTCTAGTACATACTAGCTATGGTAAAACCTCCTGTTTAACCTCCTGTTGCCTGGAGAATCTCTATAAAGCCCACGAATTGCTGAGTTGGGATGGATCTGCATTGGTAAAGAGAGTTTCCTTACTGGATATTTCCTCCACCAATAAAATTACAGGTCTAGAACTGTATGCTCTCCAAATAAAGGGATAATTAAGAATCTTCAAAATTTTGAGTGCACTTAATGTTGTCTGTAATGGACCAAAACAAGTGGTTTTCACTGAAATCTCTACCAAATTTCTAAAATGTAAAATGCCATCAATGCTTCCTCATCTCTTCACTAGGCTCTTTCTACAGCTGAATACTGAGTTTATTGGAAGCCAAAGTGAAGCATCCACATGCAAATCCGCCTCCTACTTTCTAATTTCTTTCTTTCTAATTGAAGAGCTATCATTTATACTAATGATTTTAGAATAATTTTAAGTTTCTCTAAAAATTATCTAACTGAGGTATTCAGCTGCTTCATGTGGGAATCTTAACGTCCAAATGGAAAATTTACAAAGACCAAGGCAGCTAGGTGTCACTTTGAAGGGTTAAACACGGGCCTTGTGTTACAAATGTCCTGTAAGGTAACTGATGTCTATGTGTGTGTATTATATCTTATATATACAAAAGATATGCTAATATATATATGTATACTAAATAGGATAACATACTAAACATACTATACAAAGCGTAATAATTATTTTTTCATAATAATTGAGTAGTGATGTTAACAACTGCTGACATTTCTGTGTATTTTAACATTTTATGAATTGAGTAAGAATTTATTAAATGCCTATTTTGTTTCAGGCACTGTGCTAGGTTCTCCTAGGACCTAGCATAGTGCTCTGCTCACAGTAGGTTCTAAGTAGATGGTTAGTGGAAAAGCAAATGAACCAATCGATGAATATATAGATATATACAGCTCAAGGCTTTTTTATTTAACTCCTATAGTTAGAGTTGATGAGTTATTTCTTGATACTATTTTTTTTTTGAAAGAAAAGAGTTGAAAGAGTCCAAAATGCCTTAAGAAAGATGATTAAAGCGTGTAACTACATGGATTTCCATGAATGGCCAACATAGCTGCCTACATTTTAGTGGTAGATCATGGGTGGGTGGAGCTAAGAAAAAGACACCCCCCCCCAAAACCTCTTAATGATAGAGATTCCAATTTTATTCTACACCTGGCAATACAGGGGATGCAATTGCGGACCTTCATCTAACCTAGAGAATTCTTTCAAGGTCTTGTGCAGTTCAGGTTCTACTTGAAATGCTCCTGGATGGCAACTTAATTAAGATCAACCTTTCATTCTCCAAAGTGAAGACCACTCCCTAAATAATGAATATTTTGCAATTATGATTTTTGCATAGATTTTATCAAGTCCAGTAGGTTCACAAAAGGTAGGGCAATTCAATGGATTTGGCAATGAAGTCTCATTTTTGAAATGTGCTTATGGCTTAACAGTAATTAATTGCTAACTGGCCTATCTCTAGCTCTTTAAAGTTGTCAAACACTTTGCACAAGTGATCTCATTGGACCCTCAAAGCAATCCTCAGCACTATGGGCCCTATTATTATCCCCCATTTTACAAATGAGAAAACTGAAGTTCAGAGAGCCTATGGTCATATAACTCATAAACTTCAAACACTTATTAACTTAGGAGAAGTATTTTATATGCTAATACTCATGGATTGTCTGCTTCTGATGATTTTAGATGAAAGCTAACCATAAGAGCACAATGTTGTAGGAAACTAATTAATAGGTGTTTGAATAGGGAAGGAAGGATTAGGACCAAAAAACTCTCATATTCATTTTTTTGAAAGCACTTTTCTTTTCAAGCTCAATTCAATCAACATGGCAAAGAATCTTTCTTTTTTGAAATAGACTTGTTGCTAAATAATAAGATTTTTAATAATCTTTGACAAGTATATCATAGTTTCATACATTTTTATTTGATCTTAATGGCCCTTTGAGGTAGGCATCATGATGCCCATTTTGTAGGTGAGAAAACTGAGGCTGAGAAAGATTATGTAATTAGACTGTGGTCACACAACTAATAAAGGTCAGAGCAAGGATATGAACGTTGGTCTGCTCTCTCCAAGTTTTGGGCACATTCCTTGAGAGTGTGCTGAACCTGCCCTAGCAGCCTGAATTACATAGGATTCTAGGTAATGCAGAATGGAGGAGGTACAGTTTTTCCACTGAAACCTGCAGGGTCAATGCACAGAAGGCATTTGTCACCCACACAAATTTGAAGGCCAAATTTATATCTGCAATAGGTCAATTGAACATTGAAAACAGACTTTCTGAGAGAACTTGGCTTTCTTGTTGTATTGTTAATCATTTCCGTCCCCACACCACCCCCTTCTCCCAAGGGAAGGCCAAGTTGGTCATATTGACTCATAACCATGAAAGGCATGGCCAAAAGCCACTCTTTCTACACTCTATCCCACCCACACCCAGCATTTCTCAAGCTAAATCAATTAACAAACATTTAGCAAGTCCCTACTATGTGTTGGGTGCTGGGCACAAATACAAAAACAATTTCTATTGACAGAAAGGTTACATGTTGTAGTTTCAAGTATGTTATAATAGGACATTACTCTATTAACACTAAGGAATAAATAACCTCATGGGGAAAAACCTTAATTTGTATGTCCGTAATGGACTCTCTTTTGGCAGTCTAATGAAGCTTATGAAACCTTTCTCTGAATTATTTTTATAAACAATTGAAGGAAGTGTTAAGTTCAGTTAGAAAGTAGTTCAAATGAAAATGTAATTTTTTCACCTCCAAGGTCACGGACCCCTTGAAGTCCATTCACAGAGCTCAGGTTAAGAACCCCATGCTTTTGTTTCAATACTCGCCTTGTTGAGGCCTGAAAACATATGCTGAAGGATCCAGAATGAGTCAACAGTGATGGCTGGATCGTTTAATTTAATTTCTGCCTAGTTCATAAGGTTGTTATGAAAGTTATTGGTGAAACACAAACAAAAACGGGATGACCTGGCCAATTTGCTGTTTAACTTAATTTGAAAGAGTCTGGATTTAGAGTCAGAGGATGGAAGCAACATGGTAGAGTGGAAATGGCAATGGCCATGGAGTCCATTCAAATCCTGCCTCTGACATTTACTAGCTGTGTAACCTTGGGCAAGTATTAACAAGCATTTCTGAAGGGCCTACAGGGTCCAGGCAAGTCTCTTCATCCATCTTAGACTTGAATTCCTCACATGTAAAATGACATGATTTGGATTAGATGACCTCTAACATCCCTTTCGATTCTATGTGTATAACCTTGGTTCAAATGTCAGCCCTGCTGCCCCTTGCCACTTGGGTAACTTTGACATTTAGCCTTCTGAACCAGTTTTCTTATCTGTAAAATGAGAGAGTAGGGTTAGGTAACCTGTAAGACCCCTCTAAACTCTAAACCTCTGATTCTATGGAAATTCATAGGGAAAATTAGGGTTTCATTGGGAAATTCATTGACTTTCTTATGAAAACAAAACTTCCAGTGACTCTGAAGCCAATCTTACAATGATCTATTGGGTGTCTTAGCTTTTCATGAGCCAAGTGTGAATACATTTTGATGTAACCTACACTTTGGTTTCTTCTGTCTTCCTCTTTTTCTATCTTTTCTTCCTTTGTTCATTCTCTCTCTCTCAGTCTCTCTCTCTCTGTCTCTCTTTCTGTCTGTCTCTCTCTTTCATTCTCTCCTTCTCTTTCTTTCTTTCCCTCTCTTTTTCCATAATGCTATGGAGAAGAAAAAGGACTTTGGGGACTGTTTTATACTGAGAGCTATAACACCAATGAATGTTATCCAAACATTTTTACCAAACAAAGGGATATTTTAAATGTCAATATTACATCTTGGACACTGGCCTAATAAAGTTATTCATCTTATCTGAGAGGCCCATTAGATCCATTCTGTATAACTGTGCATCATAGGAGAGTATAAACCCCACAATGTCAGCAAGAGAACCAGGGGCAAGTACCTTCATCAAATTAAAAAAAAAAAAAAAAACAACTTCACCAAAGGAGAGAGATGAAAACAATGGACCTCAAATCATGCTCAGTTTATAGCACCATTTTTTTCCCACCAAACAATCCTGGCTCTTCTACTTATTGCTTATGTGACTTTAAAGCAAGTCATTTAAACTCTCTGGGGCTGAGTTTTGTCATCTGCAAAAAAAGGTGATTGGCACAGATGACCTCTAAAATTCTTTCTATCCATGGCTTATTTCCCTTCTGCTTGCTAATTACGGTTAAATTACCACTAGATCTTTGGATGGCTCCTAGCAAATGTTCATGCCATCTTTCTATCCTATTCTTCAGAAGGATAAACACTCAGCTCCCCCACAAAAGGCAGGCCAAGAGATGAGTATAAGAATACTCAGAAAAATGTTAACAAGGAAGCACAATCCTCAGACTAAATAGAGGAACCTATTTCCAAATTTAAATGATGGTTGTTAATATAAAAAAGTTCATTTATTAGTTGATGTTGCCAATGTTGGGAGCTTAGAAAACCATAATTATATTCTTTATCAGAAGAAATTTGAGAGGTTGAGCTAGGGGAAGGAAGAAGAGGAGATGTGTGTGTGTGTGTGTGTGTGTGTGTGTGTGTGTGTGTGTGTGTGTAGGGTCAGAAAGTCAAGATAGGGGCATCTTCCCCAAGTCTGGGTTCCATTCTTCTTCACCCATTGGGAGAGACTGGTAGGCTGTATCCACTGTGGGATAGAACGCTTTACAGCTTGGGATGAGTTGAAGAACCTTCCCTCTGGGCTACTGTTTCTTCTCCGAGTCTCTCTTCACAGGTTGGTCCCATCCTCTGCAAGGGGCACGCACAGTTCCCATTCTGAGGGTTACATTGGGATCCTGGGGAACATTGGCACTGCAGAGAGCAATTGGGCCCATACCGATCTGATCTGCATTCTGTAAAGTGAAGAGGAAAAACAAATGAAGCAGTACTTTACAAGATGCATTTTTTGGGATTCACATTGATTTTTGTTATTGCTTCTTGGCTCTCAATAAAATAATGATAGACTCAGAAAGTCAGTTGGTTAACTATGTGGTATCTTCTTCCCACCCTGGAATGTTATATAATGAAAAGGATTAGTTTTCTGGAAAAAGAGAAGGGGCTAAGAAAATCCAGGAGATCAGGGGAAAATGGGGGGAAGCAGAGGACAGGAGACTAGCTTTTATTTCAAAGAAACTTACTTAGATTTCCTACAGAGAGGTCGTGTGGAGGAGGTTTGGGAGACAGCAATCAACAAGAGATCAATCAACAAGCATTTAATAAAAACTTCTTATGTTGGAGCATTTGTACTAGGAAATGGAGGAACACAGATGAAGTCCTCCAGATGCTTACATTCTATTGTGGAGACAACATTTATACATATAAGTATATACAAAATTTAAGGGGTAGAAACTGGACCTAGGTTACATTAGCAGAAGGAGGTCCTAAGTGAGAAATCTCCCTGTCCTAAAGTCTGTTGGCACTTTCTATGAATTTTATAATCATAGGGAGATGCTTGACATAGTGGAAGGTCATGTGATTTTGCCATGGTCATATAACCAGTATGTCTCAGAGGTGGGAACCTGAATTTTCCTGGTTCTGAGGCTAGTCATGCTGTCTCTGTCTACACAGGCAATATTTACAAAATGAAGGCAATGCAATTTTGGGAGAAGCTGCAGTATGGGCAATTAGGGGATAGAGTGCTGGGTCTGGAGTTAGGAAGAATGGAGTTCAAGTCTCATCAGACACTTAATAGTTGTGTGACCCTAGGCAACTCATTTAACCTCTCTTTGCCCCAGTTTCCTCAACTGTAAAATGGGGATAATAATAGCTCCTACTTTCCAGGGCTGTTGTGAGGATAAAATGAGATAATGTTTGTAAGGCAGTTAGCTCAGTGCCTGGCTTAACAAATGTTATTTAGGAAATATCTCTGTTTTCTTCCCTCTGAGCTGAGATCTCTCTGCCTTCTGGGAGCCAGCTCTGCACGCACACTGGACAGATCAGCTTGCAGTAGACCAAAGCCTAGAGGTAGAGGGAATGGCCCTTGTGACCCAGAGATCCTCATCCCAGGAATTGGTGATATTCAAGGATGTGGTTGTGGACTTCACTGAGGAGGAGTGGTGCCCCTTGGATCAATTTTAGAAAGATCTGTACAAGGACGTCATGCTGGAGAATGTCCAGAAACTGCTGTTCCTGGATGAAATGATGATATACTTGGAAAATTCCAAAGACTCAATTAAAAAGTTCATTGAAGCAGTTTTACCAAATCATCAGGATATAAAGTGAACCCACATAAATCAACAGCATTCCTATATATCACCAACACCACCCTACAAGAAGAGATGCTAAGAGATAGCCCATTCAGAATAACTGTACACAATGTAAAACTCTTGTGACTACAGTCATCGGAACAAAGCCAGGAAGTACATGAACATAAAAATAAATAAAACTTTTTGTAGAAATAAAATCAGATGTAAAGAATTAGAGAAATACTCATTGTTCATGGGTAGGTAGATCCAATATAATATAATTTTACCTAAACTAATGTATAGGTTCAATGGCACGTCAATTAAATTGTCAAAACGTTATTTTACTGAACTAAAAAAAATAACAAAACTTCTTTGGAAGAACAAAAGGTCAAGAATATCAAAGTAACCAATGAAAAAATGTAAAGGAAGGAGGTTTAGCAATATCAGATCTTAAACTCCATTATGAGGCAGTAGTTATCAAAATTATCTGGTACTAGCTAAAAAATGGAAAGGTAAATCAAAGGTACAGAACAGATATACAATTTACAATAACAAATAAATATGGGAACCTTGTATTTGACAAATGCAAAGGTTCAAGATTTTGGGATCAGAATTCATTATTTGTTGAAAATTGCGGGGATGCCTATCAATTGGAATGACTGAACAAGTTGTGGTATGTGATTGTGATGGAATACTGCTGTGCTATAAAAAATGAGCTCAATGAATTTAGAAAAACATGGGAAGACTTGGTTGAAATAATAAAGAATGAAATGAGCAGAACGAAGAGAATGTCATGTACAGTAATAGCTAAGAACTACATACATCTATCTACTGGTAGGCATCTCTTGGGCAGGGGGTTAGGGAAGAAAAAAAAGGAAAATCAAAAGAAATTTACCTAGTATCATATATATATATATATATGTATATATATATACATATATAATATCACATTGCACATAATTTGCTTTTTCATGTGAAATTCTTTTTTTAAAAATTGTACTATTATGGAAATGCTTGTTTTATTCCATTGATTACAATTAAAATAAATCAAATACGAAAAAGAAAACAAATGTTATTTCATCATAATCAATAAACATTTATTAAACAACTACTGTGTGCTTTTAGGGGAGCTAGGTGGTGCAGTAGACAGAGTGTCTGGCTTGGAGTCAGGAAGACCCGAGTTCAATTATGGCCTCAGGTACTTACTATCTGTTGCTGGGCAAATCACTTAATTTTATTTGCCTCAGTTTCCTCATCTGTAAAACGAACTGGAGAAGGAAATGGAAAACTACTTCAGTATCTGTCCCAAGAAAACCCCAAATGAGGTCACAAAGAGTTGAAAAATGACTTAACCACAATGTTTTTTTTTTTTCTTCAAGTAGTTGGTAGAGAGTGGAGATAAAGAATGGTCTACCAATTAAGTAAACAATGGAAGTCATCTGGTACAATGAGGAATTTTCAAGATCTACCTTTTTAATTCAATGTAATTCAAGATCTATTAAGTACCTACTATGTGGTAGCTTCACTGTGCTGGGAGATGGGGAAAAAAAAAGAAAACCAGCCTCTGGCCTGGGCCTACCCTGGGAGGGTGGTGGTGTTGAGGATGTGCAGTATAGTATAGATAATAGACAGCTGATCTCAGACTCGGGGAGATCTGGTTAAAATCTTACCTCTGACATATATTGGCTATGTGACCCTGGACAAGTCAATTAACTCCTCAGTGCCCTTAGAAAACTCTTGTTTTATGTAATTGGGGTTAAGTGACTTGCCCAGGATCACATAGCTAGTAAGCTTCTGAGACCAGATTTGAATTCAGGTCCTCCTGACTCCAGGGCTGGTGTTCTATCCACTGTGCCATCTAGCTGCCCCTCCTCAGACAACTCTTAAGGCTCTACCATTGATAGAGGAAATTTCCTTACTTGAGAGTTCTCTGTAGTAATGAAGCCACAGGTCTGATGCAATGTGATGTAATGAAATCATTCCCCTCCTCATGAAATTAATTTGAATGGAGGAGAGAGAAAATGACTAGCTGGAGTTGGGAGAAGGGTTGGAAGAAAGGGGACTAGACTTAGAGATTTGAACTGCAGTCTCAGGAAGGCCCTATGAAGACTCTCTTTCAACCAACGCCCCTCCTCTGCTACTTATGACCTCAGAGAGTTGTCAAGACCATGGGGTCAAATACACCACCCACCTTTGTGCGACCTCCAACATTCCTGAGCACCAATGAACCCGATTAAAACATAATTGGTGAATAATTGACAAAACAAATAAACATATGATAAAACAGAGATAATGTTACATTTTAGAACTAAGTTAATATGCAGCCCATAGGGATCCTCCTGTACGGGTTAGTGGATACCATTTCTATCTGAGTTTGACATCAGTAGTCTAGAATACTAAGGAGTTAAGTGACTTGTCCAGAGTCATGCTGACAATATTCATGAGAGGGCTTGACTCCTGCCTTTGAAGCCAGATCTTTACTCACTACCCCATGATGCCTCTTCATGTAGCAGATGAGTGCAGTACACAGCATGAAGTGATGGAAATTATGAACAGATACATGGTGCTTTCAGAAAAGCAGAGGGAGAGATCAGCTTGGCTGATGGAGCAGGCATAGATAACAGGCAGGAGACAGCACCTTGTCTGGGCCTTGCAGGAAGATATTGGGTGCTTTGACATGACGACACAAGTTCGTGGTTATTTTCCAGATCTCCCCTGCTGCTAGATTTATAATCAGCAGACCTGGGTTTGAATTCTAGCTCTTGCCCTCAGTGACCTCGTCCATCGCTCTTCACCCTCAATTTGCTCGTTGGTAAAATGAGGGCTGGACAAAATGGCCTCCAGGGTGCCTTCTAGCTATGATCCTGGTCACCTCTGGCTTGTTCATCATGGTGTGAAGGTGACCCTGGAGGTGACAGACTCCACTTGTGGAAGGACAAGTATGGTAAGTCTGCCTGAGCTGGAAAGCCTTGAGGACAGGCCTGGAGACAGATAGACAGACAGGCCATAGGGGAGTTCTCTGGGGACCTGTCTGGCCGAGGCTCCAGAATGAAGTTTTTCCCACAGCTGCTCTCCAAGGCTTAAGAGAGTTTAGTGGGAGGCATCCCCGTGCCTAGAGAAATCACAGAACCTTGAAGTGCTAAAATCCATGGGTGAAGAATTAGACAGACCACAGTTTAACTTTGCCCTTAAATTTTTCTAAGAACCCACAGATCCCCACAAAAGTTTAGCTGGTAGGACACATTCCCTCCACTAGACTCCAAGGCTTTTCATGTGGTCCAACTGAGTTCTTACAGAGTTATTTGAAATGGACTGAATTATGTGTTTGACCATCAGGGATAGGATTCAGGACACCAGACACTGGTTCAATGAGAGGAACAACAATAAAGGAAGCCCCTATATTCCCCCGCAGTCTGGGGTGTTTGCCCCTGCTGAAGGAACCATTCCCAGCTGCTCTGGCTGTGGTGGTGATACCTGAGCAGTATACTGACAGATTTGGTTTCCCAGTGTTGTGGGGATGGGCCAGCCTCCCAATCCACAAGAAGCAGGGAGTGGGCTGCCTCCCTAACCAACCTTTGGGGCTGGGGATTCTGGGATCTCATAGTTATGTTGAAGGCTCTCCAGCCCAGAGCAATCCCTGACCTAGCACATCCAGTAAGTAAGCATCC